ACACACACACACATGCATGCACGCACGCACGCCCAGAGTCACCCTGGGCAGCTCACAATTCAAAATTTAAAATTCAAAAACAGTAAAAAAAAATAAGTATCCACATTAAATTAGCTAAAAAAAATCAAACTATATAAAAAGACTATATACATAAAAAGACTATCAGAATGTCATGATGCCAGAGAGCAGAGCGCCAGAGCAAAATATTGCAAGTGCAGCGTGTGATCTTTGTCTGAAATACTTGATTGGCTTATTACTATTAAATATTCAAGTAGAACATGATTTGAATGTTTTGTTTGGCATAGCTGAAGAAGCTAACATTTTGATGCAAAATCTCATTAACTTCACAGGAGGTGAATGAAGGCATCCAGGCACTATCAAGCAGTGAAGAAGAGAAAAAGGGAGTGGCTGCATCTCTACTGGCTCCTTTACTTCCTGAGGTAGTAAAGGAGGAAGAGGAGCGCTGGAGGCGGAAAGTTATATGTAAAGAGGAGGTGGAGCCATTGATGGAAGAAGATGTAACAGCAGAACAAACAACAACCATTTCTGATCAGCAACTGGAAGGCATTCGTGATATTGGGGAAGACCCTTCTCAGGAAGACCTTTGTAGTGTGGTGCAATCAGGAGAGAGTGCAGAGGAAGAAGAAGAGCAGGATACTCTGGAACTGGAAATGGTATTGGAGAGGAAGAAGGTGGGTTATATATTAAGTAGGAATTATTTCTTCAAGGTTGTTAGCTAGAGAAGAAGAAAAGGGGGTACTTGCAGAGTCTGAAGCGGAGGAAGAGCTATAGTGTATATAACATATTCCTTCCATTATTCTCATAAGGTAAATCCCTTTTTGGATAACTTGCTCTTGTGTTCTTTGGCATCTAAAAGAAATGTGTGTTGGATTTGGCTGCTAGGAGAAAACTGTTATCAGACCTATTTTTAAGATACAGGCCTTTGTCAATAAAAAATGTCAAGAATCTATTTAAACCACAGTGACATTATGTGTTCTACAGTAAATGCATGGGGATGACAGTGACATGATGGTGGACTGTTCTGTAACATCTGTTAAAGCCTTTTTCAAACATACTTCATTCTTTTTTTTTTTAATAAAATTTTTTATTTTTTACAACAAACACAAAACATACATAAACAAACAAGAACATAGAAAAGCATTAAAAAAATCTTCCATGTTAT